ACAGCGCCACATGGGCGGCCAAATGCAGCAAAGCAATGCTGCGGCTGCGACGGCGCTATACGATGGGGCTTTACCCACAAATGACGCAGGGGATGCAGTCATGGCACGGTGGCTTCAATCCGCTGGATTGCAGCATTTGGCGTCTCCGGTTGCTTCTACGGGCAATGATCAGCGTCATCTCCCAAACCTTCTCATGCAGGTACCTACTTTCTTCCGTGATTCTTTGTTTCTGTACTCTTCCAATATCTTGCATGCCCTTTAATTTTCCGGATGTAGTTTACTCTAGCTGGTAAAGTATGCAAATTTTGTATTAGACACAGATAGCCAAGTTTTGTTATTGCTTTCGTTTGGTGATTCATGCGCAGTGTAAGACTACAAATAAAGGTATGGTAAGAATGGAGGATTGTTTCTCCCTGTTATGGATATTAGTCATAACGTATCTCAAGGAGAGCTTGGAAGTTTTTTTAGCAATTTAAGTAATGTGATTTAGATGTTTGCCGCAGGGTTGTTAGTGACTTCTACTTCGATTGGTTAATTTTTTTGCTATAGAAACTTTTGCGCTGGCTCTTGTTTCTAATTCGCATGTAAGGGGTTCTGATATTTGAAGGCTCTTTTGTGGTGTTTGCGGTATCTGCTAGGGTTATGGAGCACAGACTGCTGAAGAGAAACAAAGACTGTTCAAACTAATGAGAAATCTCAATTTTAATGGGGAGTCGACTTCTGAATCATATACTCCAACTGCTCAGACATCAGCAGCTATGCCCTCTTCGGAAGGATTTTTTTCACCTGACTTCAGAGGTGATTTTGGAGCAGGATTATTGGATCTTCATGCAATGGATGATACAGAGCTTCTATCTGAGGTACGTTTGGAAGAAAAACTAGTGCAAAGACTATTCATATTTACTCATTAGTGCCCATGGAGAACAAAATGATCATAAATTTTCATCATCAGATTGTCTGTTCTTGTGTTACATCCCGGTTGTCAAACTGTTAAGCCAATCGTACATTGCCATATTGAGTCCCACCTAATCCATTGGCTTTGTGCGCATGCAATCTATCTGCAAGACTTCTGATAGGCAACTTCTGATCTTGACACTCGAAAGGATTTAGCGAGATGTGACAGAGACTGTTTTGGTCTTGTTGTCACTAGAGAAACTTCTGGGCAAAAAAGCTACTTGTTGCATTTGCTAGTTCTTAAAGAAAGCGATTATCCATGTGAAAGTTACCAACTTCTATAATATGTGACTTTCCTTTCATTTTGCAGCATATGATTACCGAACCCTTTGAGCCGTCACCTTTCATGCCTAGTGTAAATAAAGAATTTGAAGACGACTATAATTTGCCAGCTAATCGTCAACAACGTCAACAGACAGAAGCTGAACTTGTGGGTTTATTGCCTAAGAGTGAAAAAGAAAATAACAGTGTAGCCAAGATTAAAGTAGTGGTAGGCCATTCACTTGAACACTGACCTGGTTCCTTACTACTTGATTGTTTTTTAAGCAACGTTAATTATGACTAGGGATAATTGGGAAACCACCTTTTTGTCTTTAGGTAAGGAAAAGACCCCTAAACAAGAAAGAAACAGCTAGAAAGGAGGAGGATGTCGTGACGGTATCTGATAATTCTTTGACTGTCCATGAGCCCAAAGTGAAGGTTTGTGTGTATTCTTCATCGAAGATAACAGTGGCATCCATGATTCAGTTGAACAACTGAACGATGGCATCCTGCTATTAAAGGTCATATATTCTTTTCATTTAATATTATCTTTTCTAATATTGAATGAACCGTAATCTTGTTGGTGCAGGTGGATTTGACTGCTTATGTGGAAAAGCATGAGTTCTGCTTTGATGCTGTTCTAGATGAGGATGTCTCAAATGACGAGGTAAGTTAATAATTGAACTTATTGGAGTCCATAGCAAATCCTAGCAGGAGTGCATGATGCAACCTTAAGCTGTGATAGATTTATGATTTATGTCAACTGTCAAGGTCGAGATACCTTATTGACCTTATAATCCAGATTGGGTTGATGAATGTATACATCCAGCTTTTTAATTTTTACAGAAGCTTTATTCTGCTTTGAAATTGTTTGTTATTTCCTTGAACAGGTGTATCGGGCCACAATTGAGCCGATAATTCCAATTATTTTCCAGAGAACTAAAGCTACATGCTTTGCATATGGTCAAACAGGTATGCAATGGCATTAATGTTCATTGGGAAATATACTGATAGTTCTACTCTTGCTAAAAGATTCCATTTTTTAGATGATAATAGTTTCTTCATGCTTTCATGGCCCTGATGATGTTTTGCTTTATTCAGGTAGTGGTAAGACATTCACAATGAAACCACTACCCATACGAGCAGTTGAAGATCTTATGAGGTTGTTGCGTCAACCAGTATACAGCAATCAGAGGTTTAAATTGTGGCTCAGCTATTTTGAGATATATGGTGGAAAGCTGTTCGATCTTCTCAGTGAGAGAAAGTTAGTGTTCTTTCTTTTTCTCATATCTCTTAAATGTCATCTTTGTTGAGAGGTTTTATGTTTTCCTTTTCTTTTGGCATATACTTTGACCAGGCATATACTAGCTTATAATTGTTATTTCGATGTCAGTATACCGTAAACATTGGCACTTTTTTATCCCATCAGTGTCAAATTGTCAATACTTTCCATTGTTGTCTACTACTATCGCAAATGCATGTTTACAATTGTCTAAATCATTCAGTTATTGCCGAGTAGGAAACTTTGCATGCGAGAAGATGGTAGACAGCAAGTTTGCATTGTTGGCCTGCAAGAATATGAAGTTTCAGATGTACAACTTGTAAAGGATTTTATCGAGAAAGGAAATGCTGAAAGGAGCACAGGGTCAACTGGAGCAAATGAGGAATCTTCTAGATCACATGCCATCCTACAGCTTGTTGTAAAAAAGCATGTTGAGGTAAAAGATACTAGACGGAGGAATAATGATGGTAATGAATTGCCTGGGAAAGTTGTGGGAAAGATTTCTTTCATTGACCTTGCTGGCAGTGAAAGAGGTGCAGACACTACAGATAATGATCGCCAGACAAGGTAAAGATACTCTTTGTCCCTGTGGTTGAGTAGTTTGAGAATTGACCTACCACAAATGCGTAGATAAAATTTATGCCTCTTTTGGACTTGTGGGTATTGATGGAGTGGCACTTTGCTGCTTCCTTTTTACTTTAGGACCACCACACTCCAGATCTAACGCTTAATAGTTTTCATGGTGGATTTTTCTTAGGATTGAAGGCGCAGAAATCAACAAGAGTCTCTTGGCTCTTAAGGAATGTATACGTGCACTGGACAATGACCAGCTACATATACCATTTCGTGGAAGCAAACTAACGGAAGTGCTCCGTGACTCATTTGTTGGAAACTCAAGAACGGTGATGATTTCCTGCATCTCTCCAAATGCAGGATCGTGTGAACATACCCTCAATACTCTAAGATATGCTGATCGGTATGTTTTGTACAACCTATAGCCTCTCTTGAAACAAATTCTCAATTTCATCTTCTCTTAACCTGCTGTTGGTTATGTACGGAATAAACAGAGTCAAAAGTCTATCAAAAAGTGGAAATAGCAAGAAAGATCAAACTGCCAATTCAATGCCTCCGGTTAATAAGGATGCTTTGTTAGGCCCAATTGATGTAGAAGATGTCTTTGAGCCTCCACAGGAAGTGAATGTACAGGAAACCAGGAGGAAGGTGGTCGAGAAGGACAGCAACACTACTACATCGGGTATTGACTTCAGACAGCCGACAAATTATCGAGAGGAAAGTGGAATCCCATCATTCTCAATGGATAAGGGCAGATCAGAGATGAATACTTCTTTCGGTGGATCCACTAGCCAGAGGAACCACATGTCTTCATATCCCCAAGAAACCTCAGACCGTGAAGAGAAAGTGAAGAAAGTGTCACCACCTCGTGGGAAAGGGTTGCGGGAAGAAAAACCAGACAGACCACAAAATTGGTCTAAAAGAGATGTCAGTTCGTCGGATATCCCTACCTTGACAAATTTTAGACAGAACAAAAGTGAAACTGCTTCAAGGCAATATGACACCGACCCTTCGCTTGATGAAAACCTCGATGCACTGCTTGAGGTAAAATACTCGCTTAACCCTTTTAAACATGAGATGAAGCTGTGAAATTGATTTGCAAGTAATGGTAAAAACTTATGCCAATAGTTCTGTTTATATCTTATCAAAACCACGGCATGACTTTTTCCAGGAAGAAGAAGCTCTGATTGCAGCACACAGAAAAGAAATTGAGGATACAATGGAGATTGTTCGCGAGGTAAGTAAAACACATTGCTAAATGAATAAAAGATTGTAGAATGTTATCACATCATTCAATTTTGTTTTCTCTTCTTATATCATTATATCAGGAAATGAAACTTCTAGCGGAGGTGGACCAACCAGGAAGCATGATAGAAAACTATGTGACGCAACTGAGCTTTGTGCTCTCCCGGAAAGCAGCAGGGCTAGTCAGTCTTCAAGCCAGGCTTGCTCGGTTCCAACATCGTCTCAAGGAACAAGAAATACTGAGCCGTAAGAGAGTTCCTCGGTAGTTGGTAGAAGAAGGAAACCAAAAGTGTGTTGTTGTTAAGTGTGTGAAAGGTTCTTGGGACGCAAATGTAAGAAGAAGAGAGTGAATTTTTTAGTTTCAATTTCAGAAGAAAAGAAGTAAAAAAAAAAAAAAGAAGAAGGTGATATCTTCTTTAATACAAAGAATCAGAAATGTCCTTGTGTTTGTGAAGTTGTGCATTTATTTCCTTTTATTTTTTTAATCTTAAATCATAAAATTATACCTTTTGTGTTTCCTATTTTTCTCTTCTCTTCTATCCTCCCAAAAAAGGTGGATACTGTCAATGTGAATCAAACTCTATTCTATTAATCAACTGAAAAAAAGAAAAGAATATAACCGTTTATCATGTGAAAATATTTCAGATTTTTGTGAGCCATATTGTAAAAGCACATTTCTAACAACTTGAAATTAAGATCTTCAATTACCAGTACCATCTACTTATCAAGTGACAAACAATGAAAAGACAGGTGAATAGCTCCAGAAGAACAAATAAGCATCTGTCTCTTGTCGTGAAGATAAAAAGGCCAACAAGATTATACAGCCCAACTAAAAGGCCTTGGCCCACCTCACTATTGATCACGTGACATGCCTTTTCCACGATTGCAATACAAGAGCCATTTCTCACCGTCAGATGTTAAAACCCAAACCGATTTAAACCGTCCATCAAAGTCTCTATCTCCTTCTCCTTCCCGTCGTAGTCGCACTGTCGCAGGCGAGTAAAAGGCTGTATACAAAAATAATAAAGCGCATGAATGATTTTTTTTTCTCAGACTTTTTTTTATTGCCTTCTCTCTCTAATAACCAGGTAATAGATTCTTCTTGTAACTTTTGAATTTCTGATGATATGGTTATATTTTCACTCCCATTGAATTTGAAAGTGACGAGGATTTTAGGATTTGTGGCGATAAGTCTGAGCTAGGGCTCTATTTTTGTTGTTATGGTTATTGGAAATGATATCAAGAGTAAGTGTATTTTATTTGGTTTGCTGCAGTGATTCGTGATTTTTGTTTGGGGGTTTGTTAGGTGCGGTGACCTTAGAAATGGGACATGGGGCTGAGACTGTGGACATGTTAGATGGGGAAGAGAAGAAGCTTGTAGATGATAGAACTAGTGATGGGGAAGTAGAGAAAAATGAGTTGGTGGGATCTGATGAAGAAGAGGTCTTTGAGGAAGCCATTGGTTCGCAGGAGGGTGCAAAACCTGAATCTTTTGAAGCCGATGGGTTGCGCGAGGATAAAATCTTAGAGGAAACTGCTGAGAATTCCAGGGATGAGGATGATGAAGTGGGTGATTTGGAAGAAACAAGTAGCAACGAGAGGGGAGTAGAAACTTTCAAAGTTAATTATTCGGTGGTGGGAGAGAGCCATGGTGAGGTTAACTTGCAACATACAACTACTAAGGAGGCTGAATCTGATTTGGTGACTCCCAATATGAATGATGATCAGGGGGAAGTAGCAGATGCTGTAATTTCTGAATCAAGCTTGGATGTGGTTGAGAACAGTGAGAAAGCTACATCCAATTTTGCGGCTGAGGATGTGAATTTGGAAAACGGAATTACACATTCTTCTTCAGGAAATGGGATAGTCTCTCCTGAGAATAAACAACTGGTGGCAGAAGTTGTCTCAGTAAGTGCCTGGTCTGAGGAAACAGGGAATGATGGTATTGAAAACGAAATTTTGGAGGAAAAAGTTGATGTATCAGCTGGCATGGGAACAGAAAAAAAGGAGATTGAAGGTCACAGCAGTGGTGGCTTCCCTGGGGTAACTTTTAGAGAACAGGAAACTGTTCAAAATAGTAATGGAGGACATGATATTCAACAGAGTCCTCTATCTAATAAGGAAATTGAAAAGCAGCAAGACAGCCGCGTAAATATAGGTCCAGAGATTAAGGAAAGCCAACATGTGGAAAGAGAATCTGAGGTATTAAGTTCTGTCTCACCAACAGAGTCTAGAATTAATACTGCAGCATTACCACCTGCTCGCCCAGCAGGTCTTGGTCGTGCTGCTCCACTTTTGGAACCGGCACCACGCGTTCCACAACAGCCTCGTGTCAATGGCAATGTGTCTCACAATCAGCCTCAGCAAGCTGAAGACTCTACCACTGGAGAGACTGATGAGCATGATGAGACCCGTGAGAAGCTCCAGTTCATAAGGGTCAAATTTTTGAGGCTTTCACATAGATTAGGGCAAACTCCACATAATGTTGTTGTTGCTCAGGTTTTGTACAGGCTTGGATTGGCTGAACAGTTGAGGGGCAGAAACGGAAGCCGTGTTGGTGCCTTTAGTTTTGATCGTGCCAGTGCCATGGCAGAACAGCTTGAGGCAGCTGGACAGGATCCCCTTGATTTTTCTTGTACGATTATGGTGCTTGGTAAAAGTGGGGTTGGTAAAAGTGCAACTATCAATTCTATTTTCGATGAACTGAAAATTAGTACTGATGCATTCCAGATGGGGACAAAGAGGGTTCAGGATATTGAGGGTTTTGTTCAAGGAATTAAGGTACGGGTAATTGACACTCCCGGTCTCTTACCATCCTGGTCAGATCAACACAAGAATGAGAAGATCCTGAAGTCTGTTAGGGCATTCATCAAGAAAAATCCGCCTGACATTGTATTATATCTTGATAGGTTAGATATGCAAAGCAGAGATTCTGGTGACATGCCTCTCTTGCGCACCATTACTGATGTTTTTGGACCATCAATTTGGTTTAATGCCATTGTGGGTTTGACTCATGCCGCTTCGGCTCCACCAGATGGCCCAAATGGGACTGCTTCTAGCTATGACATGTTTGTAACACAACGTTCTCATGTCATCCAGCAAGCCATTCGCCAAGCAGCGGGAGATATGAGGCTCATGAACCCTGTTTCTTTAGTTGAGAACCACTCTGCTTGCAGGACAAATCGGGCTGGCCAGAGAGTATTACCTAATGGCCAAGTGTGGAAGCCTCATTTGCTATTACTCTCATTTGCATCCAAGATTCTAGCCGAAGCAAATGCTCTTCTGAAATTACAAGATAATATTCCAGGGGAACAATTTGCAGCTCGGTCCAAGGCTCCACCATTACCATTGCTCCTCTCATCGCTTCTGCAATCAAGACCACAAGCTAAGCTTCCTGAGCAGCAGTACGATGATGAAGAAGATGAAGATGATTTGGACGAATCATCAGATTCTGACGAAGAATCAGAGTATGATGAGCTTCCTCCCTTTAAGCGGTTGACTAAAGCCGAGATGGCTAAGCTTAGTAAATCTCAGAAGAAGGAATATCTCGATGAGATGGAGTATCGGGAGAAACTATTTATGAAGAGGCAGATGAAAGAGGAAAGAAAGAGACGTAAGTTGTTGAAGAAATTTGCTGCTGAGATTAAAGATATGCCTAACGGGTATAGTGAAAATGTCGAAGAGGAGAGAAGTGAACCTGCAGCTGTTCCAGTTCCCATGCCAGATTTATCTCTACCTGCATCTTTCGACTCTGACAACCCTACTCACCGGTACCGGTACCTTGATTCCTCCAATCAATGGCTTGTTAGGCCAGTGCTGGAAACTCATGGGTGGGATCATGATATTGGTTACGAAGGTGTGAATGCGGAACGACTATTTGTTGTTAAAGACAAAATACCGGTATCTTTCTCTGGGCAAGTGACAAAAGACAAGAAGGATGCAAATGTGCAGCTGGAATTGGCCAGCTCGGTTAAACATGGAGATGGTAGATCAACATCCCTAGGTTTTGACATGCAAAATGCTGGGAAGGAATTGGCGTACACTGTTCGAAGTGAAACAAAATTCAACAGTTTTAGGAAAAACAAAGCAGCAGCTGGTCTCTCTGTAACGCTCTTGGGTGATTCAGTGTCTGCGGGACTGAAAGTGGAAGATAAGTTGATTGCTAATAAACGGTTCAGAATGGTTATGTCAGGTGGAGCAATGACTAGTCGGGGAGATGTTGCTTATGGTGGTACTCTAGAAGCTCAGTTTCGAGATAAAGATTATCCGCTAGGTCGGTTTTTATCAACTCTTGGACTTTCTGTGATGGATTGGCATGGCGATCTTGCTATCGGAGGCAATATACAGTCTCAAGTACCTATTGGACGTTCCTCTAATCTAATTGCTCGTGCTAATCTGAATAACAGAGGTGCAGGGCAAGTAACCATCCGCGTAAACAGCTCTGAGCAGCTTCAACTTGCTGTTGTTGCTCTTGTTCCGCTGTTCAAGAAGCTTCTTAGTTATTATTATTCCCCAGAGCAAATGCAATATGGACACTGATGAATAAACATTCAATTATTTTTATTTTTTCTTGAAACATGTTTTTTTTTTATTATTGTTGTTGTCGGAATTCACTTTTGTTTTAAGAGTCATCTAAGTTCTGAACTTACTTTTGATATTTGGTTGTAACATATGACTGAAACTTAAAAGTCCATTATCTCAATGTTTCTGAGACTTCTTGAATCCTGTATTCGATCAAGGAATCTGATCTTAGGTCAGATTATTCATCAGCATCTTCTTAAGCGCTCTCTTACGTTGAGTTCCTCTACCGTGCTTGTCAATTTAACGCGTCTCTATGCATCATGCAATGAAGTGGAACTTGCACGCCATGTGTTCGATGAAATTCCTCATCCAAGGATCAATCCTATTGCGTGGGACTTGATGATCAGAGCCTATGTATCTAATGGTTTCGCGGAAAAAGCTTTGGATTTGTACTACAAGATGCTGAATTCTGGTGTTAGACCCACGAAATTTACGTACCCGTTTGTTCTGAAAGCATGTGCTGGTCTTCGAGCAATTGAAGATGGTAAGCTGATACATAGCCATGTGAAATGTAGCAACTTTGCAGCTGATATGTATGTATGTACTGCTCTGGTTGATTTTTATGCTAAATGTGGGGAGCTCGATATGGCTATAAAGGTGTTCGACGAAATGCCTAAGAGAGATATTGTCGCTTGGAATGCTATGATTTCTGGGTTTTCTTTACATTGTTGTTTAACTGATGTCATTGGATTGTTTTTGGATATGCGTAGAAGCGATTGTCTCAGCCCTAATTTATCCACTATTGTTGGGATGTTTCCTGCACTAGGAAGGGCTGGTGCTTTGAGGGAAGGGAAAGCGGTTCATGGGTATTGCACACGAATGGGTTTTAGCAATGATTTAGTTGTTAAGACTGGGATCTTGGATGTATATGCCAAAAGCAAGTGCATTATCTATGCGAGAAGAGTTTTCGATTCAGACTTTAAGAAGAATGAGGTAACCTGGAGTGCTATGATTGGAGGCTACGTAGAAAACGAAATGATAAAGGAAGCTGGAGAAGTGTTTTTGCAGATGTTGGTTAATGCAGATATGGCGATGGTGACACCAGTGGCCATTGGGCTTATTCTGATGGGTTGTGCGAGGTTTGGAGATCTGAGTGGAGGGCGATGCGTACATTGTTACGCGATTAAAGCAGGCTTCATCTTAGACTTAACTGTTGGAAACACCGTAATTTCATTCTACGCCAAGTATGGAAGCTTATGTGATGCTTTTAGGCAGTTTACTGAGATTGGCTTGAAAGACATTGTTTCATATAATTCTCTTATCTCTGGGTGTGTGGAGAACTGTCGTGCAGAAGAGAGTTTTCGTCTATTTCATCAGATGAAATCATCCGGAATTCGGCCCGATATTACAACATTGCTTGGTATCTTAACCGCTTGCTCTAACTTGGCTGCTTTGGGACACGGTTCTAGTTGCCATGGGTATTGTGTTGTTAATGGTTATGCAGTTAACACAAGCATTTGTAATGCACTGATGGATATGTACACAAAGTGTGGAAAACTTTATGTAGCCAAGAGAGTTTTCGACACAATGCATAAGCGGGATATAGTTTCGTGGAACACAATGCTGTTTGGATTTGGAATCCATGGGCTTGGCAAAGAAGCTCTTTCTCTGTTCAACAGTATGCAGGACACAGGTGTGCACCCAGACGAGGTGACTCTTCTTGCGATTTTGTCTGCATGTAGCCATTCAGGACTTGTAGATGAAGGGAAACAACTGTTCAACTCTATGTCTCGAGGAGATTTCAACGTCATACCAAGATTAGACCATTACAATTGCATGACTGATCTCCTAGCCCGTGCCGGATACTTGGATGAAGCTTATGATTTCGTCAACAAGATGCCATTTGAGCCCGATATTCGCGTGTTGGGTACACTTCTATCTGCTTGTTGGACGTACAAGAATGTGGAACTTGGGAATGAAGTGTCGAAAAAGATGCAGAGTCTTGGAGAAACAACAGAAAGCTTAGTTCTTCTATCCAACACCTATTCAGCTGCTGAGAGATGGGAAGATGCAGCAAAAATTAGAATGACACAGAAGAAGAGCGGGCTTCTCAAGACTCCCGGCTATAGCTGGGTCGATGTGGATTAATGCTATGATATTAGGGTTTAGCAGAGGAAGGCAGAAACGTAACCGAGAAGGCAAATATTTTTTGCTTACTCTGTTTTCAGCTTCCTACTAAAAATCGCAGCCGTTAAAAAATATGTAACTCTTGAAATCAGATAGGGACCGTTGGATTGCTGTCATAGTATAATATTATTGGGCCAACCGACTTTACAAATAAAGCCCTTTCTTGGTATTGAATATATATGGAGAAGAGACTGTTTGTTTGTTTCTCTTTAGAATTAGTTCCTTGCGATCGTCTATTTCTCCGTCCAAGCCGCAACCCTAACAAGAGTGCGATTATTATTCTCAAACTCGTTTCAATAATTTCGGATTCTTCCTCTGTTCTTGTTCTGCCCTTTTCCAACTTTTACCTCCTCGTGAATACGGTTTCATAAACCCTAAACCTCAAAGTTAGTAATGTTTGATTGTTCAATGTTTCAGAATGCATTAATTTCGATACTCATGTGAACACTGGTCTTGCTTAATCTACGTGAATGTTAATTTCGAATGGTGGTTGTCTATATATAGTCGTCTTTGCTAAAATAACCGTTTTGTTGAGAAACTAACAACAGTAGTGGCAGGGCTGATTTATTGATTTTGAGATCAAAAGGAGCTGGTTAAAGGATGGACGATGCTATGGACATGAGTTCAGGTAGTGATGAAGAAGTACAAGAAGAGGAGACCACCGTTAACGAGAGGGTCATCTATCAGGCTGCATTACAAGTAATAAACTTCAACACTAGTTCTTAAGTAGCTCTTTCTTTTGTGATTTTGCTTTTAAATTATGTATGTGTTGTTCCATTAATCAACCTGATATTTATTAATTTGGCTTACTTGATTACAGGATCTGAAACAACCAAAGACCGAAAAGGATCTACCTCCTGGTGTTCTTACAGTTCCTCTTATGAGGCATCAGGTAATAATAATTGTCATGTTTTTGACTTAACTTTGGAATTTAATTGGTCCTACTGTATTACTAAAATATATCTTTATTGTTTGTCAGAAAATTGCATTGGAATGGATGCGTAAGAAAGAAAAAAGAAGCAGGCATTGTTTGGGAGGGATATTAGCAGATGATCAGGTAACTTTTAATTATGTTGGTGTTGATCACATTTTTTTATTAGGTGGATGTTAAATTTCTCACAAAATTATGTGTGGTGCTATATGGTAATGCAGGGACTTGGTAAAACAATCTCTACCATCTCTCTTATTCTATTACAAAAGTTGAAGTCACAATCAAAGCAGAAAAAACGAAAAAGTCGAAAATTTGGTGGTACATTAATTGTTTGTCCAGCAAGTGTTGTTAAGCAATGGGCAAGAGAAGTTAAAGAGAAGGTTTCTGATGAACACAAGCTCTCTGTTTTAGTCTACCATGGATCTCGCAGAACCAAAGATCCTAAAGAATTAGCAAAACATGATGTCGTCGTGACAACTTACGCTATTGTTACAAATGAAGTTCCACAAAACCCTCTGCTGAATCTTTATGATAGTAGGAGTAACAAGAGAGGCAGAGAAAGCTTTGAAGGATCTAGTCTGATTCAGTCTCACGTTGGTGCACTAGGAAGAGTTAGGTGGTTGAGAGTAGTATTAGATGAAGCTCATACAATTAAAAACCATAGAACCTTAATTGCAAAAGCTTGTTTCAGCCTTAGAGCCAAAAGGAGATGGTGTTTGACTGGAACGCCGATACAGAACAAAGTAGACGATCTTTATAGCTATTTCAGGTTTCTTAGATATCATCCATATGCCATGTGCAATTCATTTCACGAAAGAATCAAGGCTCCAATTACTAAAAGCCCTCTTTATGGTTACAAGAAGCTTCAAGCTATTCTAAGGGGTATAATGTTACGCCGCACCAAAGGTATTCGTTTGCTCTTACTATAAATATATATGTCCTTTTGTATTTTGTGCTAATTATCTTTTATGTTGTGCTATTTTAGGAACATTACTTGATGGACTACCTATAATTAATCTACCACCAAAGCAAGTTAATTTGAGCAAAGTGGACCTTTCAGTAGTAGAATGGTCTTTCTACAGGAAGCTTGAATTGTATTCACGTTTGAAGTTCGAGGTGATTCTCCAATAATAATTTTCATGTATATGTATAAGTAAATGGTGACTTTGTACCTAGTAATATGACGTTTTCTACTCTTATATCTATAGGAATATGCTGCTGATGGGACTTTGCATGAACACATGGCTTATCTTTTGCTGATGCTTTTGCGACTACGCCAAGCTTGTAACCATCCACAACTTGTTAAAGGATATAGTCACTCAGATACTATTGAAGAAATGTCAGATGAAGTTATAGTAGCACCTAGAGAGGATTTTATCATGTTCCTCGATCTCTTGAAATTATCCTCTACCATCTGCTCTGTTTGTAGTGTAAGTACATTGTAATGATTGAGCATTGGTTGTCTCTTCAGGCTCTCTCTCATTATGTTCTGATAATCTTTTTACTCTTTGATATTCTCTGCAGGATCCACCAAAAGACCCTGTTGTTACTTTATGTGGCCATGTGTTTTGCTATGAGTGTGTGTCTGGAAACATTAATGGGGATGACAAAACGTGCCCTGCACTTAATTGCAGCAACGAGCTTAAACATGATGTTGTTTTCACAGAATCTGCAGTTAGAAGCTGCATCAACGATTATGATGATCCTCAAGATAAAAATGCTTTAGTTATGCTTCAAGGCGACTTTATTTCATCGAAAATCAAAGCTGTGATAGAGCTTCTTCAGTCGCTTGCACAGCAAGGCAGTCCAGACACTCCACCAATAAAGACAATAGTGTTCTCTCAGTGGACTGGTATGCTTGACTTTGTTGAGCATTCTTTTCTCCAAAACCGTATAAATTTCAGAAGATTAGATGGTACAATGTCTCTAGTAACAAGAGATATAGCTGTAAAAGAATTCAACAATGATCCAGATGTAAGTGACTTTATATGTTTTGCTTTCAAAAATCAATTTTACATTTCTCTAAGGCAATCTAATGCTTTATATATCAAACAGGTGCAAGTGATGCTGATGTCTCTTAAAGCTGGAAACCTTGGATTGAATATGGTAGCTGCATGTCATGTTATTCTATTGGACCTTTGGTGGAATCCAACAACTGAAGATCAAGCTATTGATCGAGCTCATCGTATCGGACAAACTCGGACTGTTACAGTTACTCGTATTGCCATCAAAAATACCGTTGAGGAACGAATTTTGACTCTTCAGGTATTTAATTGCTTTTTTGTTCCAAACCTATCAGGATCCTTTTCTTTGTATAGTGTACATGACTCCCTCCACTCAATTGTGATTTTTGTTTCTTTAATTTTTTTTATTTTTCAGGAACGTAAGAGGAACATTGTTGCATCTGCATTGGGTGAAAAACATGGTAAAAGTTCTGCGATTCAACTAACACTAGAAGATCTTGAATATCTATTTGGTGTGTAGAATATATCGGAGATTGTGTGCCCCAAAGAGTTTTTGTTAAGAGGAATAAAATCTCTAGCTATTTTATAAGTCACTAAGTGAATGTAGTTATATGACATTTTCACATGTTGGTTAGATTTTCTAGTAATGCAAAAATGGTATCACCAAATTAAAATCAGACAAAAGAAGAAAGAGAAAATATTTTTGAGAATTTCAAATATATCACCAAATTAAAATAAGACAAAAGAAGAAAGATAAATTAATTTTGAGATTTTTTCAAAGGTTCATGGTATAATTTTTGGGCTTGCTCATCCATACAATCAACTTGCAATAATTGTGAAACCTCACTTAAGGATATTTATAATTTTTGACCCAATGTAAAAAGTGGAAAATATTTATTAGAAATATCTTGGAGTAATTATAATAACTCTTTTTATTTTTCATTAAACGAGTATTTATAGATAAATGAACCTTGTTAGAAATAAGGGTTTCTCTCTGTCCCAAAGAAATAACGATATTAGGGTAACGATGTCGACAAAGCTTCCATCGGAGTTGGAGGATGAGATACTTTTTCGTGTTCCACCTCTATCTCTCACTCGATTTCGAACCGTTTGCAAACGATGGAACACACTTTTCAACGATCAGAGATTCATCAACAATCACTTGGCTTGCGTCCGTCCTCAATTCATCTTACGGACCGAGAAAGATTCCAAGATTTATTCAATAGGCATCAATCTCGATGACTCCTTAGAGGTGCGTGAGCTGAACCTAGAAACTCAAGGTCCTAAGAAACTTAAGGTATATCGAAACCTCTTTTACTGCGACGGGTTTTTGTTATGTCCTGCTTTGATTGACGAGGTTGCGGTCTGGAATCCATGGTTGAGACAACAAACTAAATGGATAGAGCCTAAGAGGACTAGATTCAATTTATATGGACTAGGGTATGATAATCGTAGACCGGAGAAGTGTTACAAGATCTTAGGGTTTAGCTACGGTTACTGTAGTGAAATAGACGGTAGTAACACCAAAATCAACCCAAGAGTTTCGATTTACGAGTTTGAAACTAATATGTGGAAGGATCTTAAGTTTGGTTTACTTGATTGGCACTTAAGATCTCCCCGGACTGTTTTATCTTTGAATGGAACTTTGTATTGGATTGCTATAAGATGTGAGAGTGGTGGTGATTGTTTTATCCAAAGCTTTGACTTTTCGAGTGAGAGATTTGAACCCTTTTGTCTCTTGCCGTGTAAGAACGATCTTGGCGATACTCAAATCCTTGAGGTGTTTAGGGGAGATCGACTTTCAGTGTTGGAACAATGCGTGACAACAAAGAAGATCAAGATTTGGGTGACTAAGAACAGGATTAGTGGAGATAGGAAGGAGCTTGTCTCGTGGAGACTGTTAATGACTGTGTCGATACCAAACTTCCCGAGATTACAAGACCATATTTACTCTAATTCTCAGCCGAGTTACTTCATGGATAACAATGATGACAAGAGGCTCATTGTGTGTACTTGTGATGAAATTGGAAAGCCTTGCATCTACATTGTGAAGGGAGATAGGTTCAAGAAGATTCAAATGGATTTTGAGGTTGATCCTTGGCCTTTTCACCTTGTCTATGTTCCTAGTTTGGTTCCTATTCCTTTAGCTCAAGAGCAACAATAATAAAAAAAGTTTAGTTTTTATTGACTTGTTGTTCGCGTTTATTGCAAACTAAACTGATTAAGATTTCATTGTTTTATGGATCATAGATTAAGAATTCAAAATTATATTTTTCTAAATGGTTTGATCATCGAAACGTTGTACCAGCTATGATACAGAGTAATTAATTAAGCTCACCAGCATAGCTTTCACCAGCTATGAAGAAATCACGAGATTTGTATTGGGGATACCTTGCAAACCAAGCAACCATGAAGTTGTATGCATCTTCCTTCCGCTATTATTTGATTATTAGGTCAGTATCGTAATGGATGGATACACTCTGAGTTCTGAACAATTCGTTTGATAACTTATTATAGACTTATAGTTATAGTGGTGTGGTATCACTAAAAAATTATGTTTAGTTTGATTGGAAACTAAAAAATTAATAATTATATTTGCAAGTTCAACCGTAATTTAAACATTACAAAAAGTAACATTGATATTATAAATCTGTTTCTTATTACAAAGACTTAATAAAAGGCTTAATCCTTATTTCGAAGTCGGTTTCTCTAGAAGGTTTGTTGAGATGGCCATGATATGTGCCAAGTGTTTGACTCCACTAAAATTATCATGTAATTTGCCTTAGTCACACTACCTAAGAAGCAAAGTCAATGATAAGAGTCCCCATTTACAGCTAACTTCTTATTAAGAGGCTTAGCTTCTTGTTCATAATGCATATGATATATGGGGACATTTTCATATTTTGTTGTGTACGTAATAATACAGTAATAGAAACTAAAAAGTATATTAACCCTGAAATAATTCATCAGTGTCAATATTTTTGTGTCTTCAGTATGACATTTTAATTTGGTAAGGTAATAATATCTCATACCCAAAAACTAATTTAAGATGTCCTAAGGAAGGTAGCAACGCAATATAATCAACCCTTTTTCACCTGTGGAAACAGTGGAACAATGTAATATCACATATGCATAACCAACAATCACTCACAGTACTTAACATTATGAAGGAAAGAAAACAATCACTCACAGCTCATAATGGCTAGTGTTTAAGATGATTGATGATTGTTATATCAAGAACACCATTTCCTCCAGGAGACAAAGACGCCACTTTAATTTAGCAAGCTAATGACGCCACTTTATGGATGCGATGAAGTCTGCTTAGATTTCCTAGCTCATATCTTATTGCCACCTAATTCTTTTTATCTCTTTTTTTGCCAAGGAGCCAAATGTTTAGGTTTAACTATTTTGTAAAACCTGTTTATCATTAATGATATTTACGATTTAGCAAAAAAAAAAAAACTAATTTAAACCAACACAATTGTATACATATGATGTTACGATAACGATCAAAATTAACCTTACTAAAATTTGATTTTTTCCTTTATATATGATGTTACGGTAACGATCAAAATTAACCTTACTAAAATTTGGCGTGTAATGGTTCATATATTAACTGTGAGAATCTAAGTAAGATTGATTATGAGAATCTAGCCAACTATGAGATAACATGACATCATCAACTATAAAACTAAGGTGTAATTAACGATTGCGCTTATTATTTTTTATTTTTTTGACTAAATCTTTTTTATTCATCCTAAGCTTTTTCTTCAAGAGAGACATCATTTGAAATTATACAATCAAAGCTATAAGATGAAAAAACTGAGATAAACAAGGAAGATACAAGAAAACCGAAACTGATGTGAAGCAAAAAGAGATTGTAGTACCCAAGTTGATGAAGAATTACCGCTGAACATAACGAAACCAAGTAGACAAGAAGATTTCTGAAACAATTGAAGAGGCTGGAACTGAATTCCTTCTAATTTGAAACTGACAACGATCCAAACCTCCGAGCTTTGCTCTAAGAACAAGTTGAATTTCCTTAACAATAAGAGCGGCTGGTTTGGAGGGCGAGGAGTGCAAGTAAAAGATGTTCATCCAGTTTCGTTCTGATCGGATAAGATTATTTTTACTCATTGGTTAATGACTTACTCTTATCTTGGATACGAGAAATATTTTTTGGTTTATTGAAAGTGTGTATACTGAGAAAGATGCTTGCTTTGAAATGTTCTGCATGGCTTCCCGTTGTCTTTTTCCTTCTTCTTTGGTTGACTCTCTGATTCAAGATTTTTTTAAGTTGATTTCAAGCCTAACACTCTCAGATGAAGCTTTTAAATAAAACTTTTGTTATAGTTAGATATGATTGGTTTTGTTCAGCTTTCATGGTTCAATAATGTGAGCAATTTATCTGACCATATAAGAAAGGCTCTATCATATAATGGTTTTTATAAGTGTAGATGGATATGGTATCATGTTATTTTCATAATTTATCCAGGTTGTTGGCTGTTTCTTCAATAGTGTTATGTCACAATCATGGCTTACATGGGATAAAATAAGTTATGGCCGATGAAAATGAAATGAATATATAGGTTTTCGTTATGAATTTGAAGCTAACGAATCAATACTTTAGTGCAAATGAAATGAATATATAAGAGAGAGAGATACTATGCACATTAGCGTGGCGTGGGTGCAAATGAGGTACACCGCTAATTTACACCCTCGCTAATGTGCACAGTGTCTCTCTCTTATAAAACCATGAAGAGCTAGGGTTTTGGAACATTTGGAACATCTCGACTATAGAAAATCTCAACAATCTCCTCAAGGCTGCTTATGATGGTGGAAATTTCGACCAATGTCGTGAGATCATAGCGAATATGTTAGTATGTTAGGCGAGATTATAGAGAAATAGATGAATATTTGATTTGATTCTCGATATTTAATGTTTTGATTGTTAAAAATGTTTTGATTTATTTAGAATATATCCATAAATTTTTATCGGAATATATATCTCTGCGGATTTATCGCCGTAGTAGTTTGTGATTTTAGGTTGAAGTTGTTATGGTATTAAAGCTTACGTTTTTTTTTCAATTTTTTTTTTTAGGCTCTGATTAACAACCTTGAAGCTCATCAGCAAGCTGCGAATAACCTTGAAGCTCATATGCAAGCTCATCAGAAAAAAATGTTCAAAGTCATGACCAACAAGGTGAAGTTGTTTGGGGGAATGTGTTGGTGGCCCATCTATAAAAGAGTGAGTACTAAAGAAATATTACCCTAAACCGTATTTCTAATCAAAGAACTGTTGTAAACCACATTACGGATGGACTCCATAACCGTGGCCCATGTCCATGTTCTAGAAGGCCCATGTCCATGTTCTAGAAGGCCCATGTCTATCTTCTAGAAGATTCGCCCAATGACGGTTTATGTTAGTCTTAGTGGGCTTTGGGCTTTAGGGTTTCCTAGTCCAATTGGGATTTGTCTCCCTTATTGTGTATATATATAAGTTGTAAACTCATTCATTAATCAAGAGAATACACGAGATTTATAACACGTTATCAGCACGACTTGCTCTTAACGAAAACCCTAAAACCCTAAATCTAAAGTCGTCGAGCTCGTCCGCCGCCCGAAGCTACCAACCGCCGACCGCTCGCT